TTTCACCACTTTGCGTTTTATTTTCAGTTGTTGGTGGCTTCCCCACTAAAGACGCATTCAATGTTCAATCCCAAGACGAGCTACCCTTGGTTTCATTTTTTCTGGGGCCTTCAAGACATATATATATATATATGTATATTATATTTATGTATATATAAATGTTTGTTGCAGTTTCGGCGTCTCCTGCAAACCGAGTTTTTGGCTTGTCTAAAGATGGACCTATGTGTTTTTTTGTTCCCCCCCGCAGTTTAAGGTTCACTAGATATAGAACAGACTCAGACAATATATATATATATATATATGCTGCTTTCCCCATAGCCCCAAAAAACAGGCCGAACACACTGCACATACCAATGATTTTCAAAAGAATGTAGATTTATGGGGGGGGGACGTTCGGTGCACCCCATGGGCCAGGTGACTCAAACTTGTGGTCCCAGCTTCCCCACGGAATCCTTCACCGCCGGGGTCGGGCGATGCCTCGCTCGACCAGGTGGCGCCTCTTGCACCGTTGTAGCGCATGGAGGCGATCCATCGGGGCGATTGATACGCGCCAAGCGGGACGGGACTTCTCAAACACACAGGCACACACACACACACACCCTACACAAGGTTTTGGGGATGTAAACTCAAAACCAAAACCAAAACTGAAAACCTCAGTTGTTGGAACGCAAGCTCATGGCGAATGAGTTCGACCAAGACTGGTGGTGTGCTTGGAGGCTGGTTGCAGTTTTATGGTTCCCAGGATGGAAACAATCAGCATCTAGGCCCCCCAGTACCTCAGTGCCCCTTGACCAACTTTCTTGGGGGGAGGGTTCCCCTACCAAAATAGACTACAAAAAAAAGGTACCCTTATTCTAACCTCTCTACTGGAGGACCCAGACCAGCATGTGCAGGGGCTTGCTTTGCAGCAAGCCCGGCCCTTTCTCTGTCGCGCCTGGTGCTCGCTTTGAAGAAGCAAACGCATGAGGTGCTCTTGGTGCTCTTGTGAGGGGTGCAACATCCTTGCCCACCATGTTTTAAAGCACTTGAGTCAAACAGTTTGCACTTTGGAGGCTTTCATAGTAGCATGTGTGAAGGCCCCCTAGAAGACTTTGTTGCCTTTGCGCTGTGGTGTTCTTGGTGGGCAAAAGCTCCTCTTCAGGGAGAACGACCTTAACACGAGGCAAACCGCCTCTCGAAGCACGAGCTGCCAGGAGACAACGGGCTGGTCAGTCAAGTTTGGCCAGAACCGAATCATGGGGTAACGGCGATGTCGGGGCTACAAGAATGTGCTGGTTCATCGGGAAGGGCCAGCAAAGTACTGAGCCACCAGGCCAATCGCTCCAGAAGTTGACAGGCAGCTTGCATTAGGTGTCCAAACGAGTCGACAGCTACGTCACCGGCAGTGCACCTTCTGGCAACCGTCGGCTTTGCGCATGTGGACCACGTACTTGGCCGTGTCCGATGGAACCTGGCGATCAGACAGAGACCCCTGCCGCACACCAACAAAACCCCGGCCTCCCATCGGCAAATGTTGACTCAACATGCCAAGCCACACAGCTCAGCGGCGAGGTGGCCAAGCACAAGAGACCTTTCCGCTTTTTGCTCAAGTCCCCTGGACAAGCGCAATTAAACACATGTCTAGTAGTGATAAGCTCCTTTTTGTTCTGCAGGAAAAATAAAACATTCCTAAGCAAATGAAGTAATGTATCTCCAAGGCCTTGGATTCTTGCCCAGTTCAGCGACGCGGTCGCTTTCTGCTTCAGTGGTAGGGTGAAGGCACACCATTCAAAAGCCTCTCAGTCAGTTTGGGTTTATGGGGCATGTTCCCAACCCAAAACACAGATGTTCTGTGTTTGGCGGCTTCTAATTGCCATCCTTGTGTTTTTCTGGAAACCGTTCCTTTCGTTTTTGAGGTACCCCAAGACCCCTTTGTTTCTTTTTGTGTGTGTGTGTTTTTTAAAAGGGAAGCCAACCGCAAAAAAAAAGGGCGGAGACCCCCCAAAATGGCGCAGCGGCTGTCCTTTTCATTTCCCTTTAAAACGGGCACTTCAAAAGATTAGGAGACCCCCAACATGGCTTCGGCTTTTCCTGTGGATTTCCCTTTTTAAACCCAGGGCTACCAACTCAAACAAAAATGGCTTCGGTTGTTGAAACCATTTTACAGGGCTCCTGAAAAGATACATGTTGCCCAATTGAAACATGACTTTTTCCACCCAAAGAAAGGGAAACCACCATTTACAAGGCAGCGCTCAGTTGTTTCTACTGTAAGGATCCCTGTTTTAAGCCCCAAAAAGGGGTACCAGCTCAAAGGAAACGGACCGCCCATCTCCGGTTGTCGACCTCTAGCCATCCGAATCTATCCGAGGGCCACAAAGTGGCAAGTCTTATGCGCTTTCCGGGCTCTTTACGCCGGGACCCCCAGTCGATAGCCGAGCAGATTGGAGAGCAGATCTTCAGCTAGGTCCCCCCCAGCGAAGTGCCAACTTTTACTGTTTCTTTTTTGGTTGGGAGGGTGCAGACCTACTAAAATAGACTACAGAAAAAGGGTACCCTTGCTCTAACCTCTTTAATTACTGGAGGACCTAGTCAGACCTTTCCCCGTCCCCCAGTTTTGACCATGGGTAACTGTTCCCATGTTGAAACACCCCAAATGACCACGGGTAAGATTTTCCCATGTCGCAATATCTCATCTAGTGGTTCTCTCCAACCAATTGTTTATCGGACCTTTTGATCAACCCCCATGCTATTCAATGGTCGAGTTCGAGTCAAATCGATTCCATGATCGCTTTATTCAAGTCCTCCAGGCCGGGCGCATGGATCGTATATATAGTTCCTACGGGTTTGTTTTTTGTAAGGTTGGACCCCCCAACATGGCGCAGCGGTTTTCCTTTTGGTTTCCCTTTGTAACACCACAAAGAGAGGCACCTCAACAAAGACACCCAAAACATGGGCCGTCCGAATGTGACAACCAGATTCGGCACAAAACCGGTTGCTGAATCAGGGTGCAGTGACTCACTTGCTAGCCGAACGTTTGACCTGGTGTCCCTTGTGTGGTTCGTATTGGGGGGTGTTGTTTTTTTTGCGGGTGCTTTGTTTTGGTTGGTTTGAAAATAGCTCCTAAAGGAATACCACCATGCTGTCGGTCCCCGCAAGAAAGACACCCCCATTTAGTCAAGGTTCCAAAATGTGATGGGGTGGTCACAAGTCTGCGAACTAGGCCAAAGGTGTCCTTGACATGGTTGTTGCGCGGTTGAAATCCCAACTTAACTGCTAAAATTTAAATATTTGCTCTTAACTGCTAAAAAATGAGAATCTGTGTGCCCCTTTCAACGTCAACCAAGTTAACCAAGGTGAAGGGTCTGACATTGTGAACTTGTGGAAATGGAACCGCAACTCATCAAATGGAGGAAATCCTGTCGGTTTCTCATCGGAATTTCCAGGTGTGGTGTTTGGAGCGGAGGTGGAGGTACTAAATACCGCGTATACAAGGGGTATGTACTGCCTTAGCTTATATTGGTGGTATTTAAGCAAAGGTGTACCAGGACCATTTTGTTCTATGTCAGTTTGGTTGAAGATAGATGGCCCTGGTTACAGGTTGGTTCCAATCTACCAGAGCCATCTAATTCTCTAAAAGGTCACCTAGGTATGTAAGCCTGCATACCTTCACCATACCTGGAAATGGGTGTGTCTGTTTTTAGGGGACCCCCAAAATGGTGGTTATCCGTTTGGTGTTCCTTTCCAACAGCAAAAAGGTACCCTGAAAACTTGTTGGCTCCCAGCCATCCCCTTAGCTTTTTTGCCTTCAGCAAGTGTTTAGTGGTAGTTTCCATTTAACCCACTAAAAGTTAAACTTTTCGCGGGGGATCTGAGGGCAGCCCAGAAAAAAGACACCCACATAGTGTTTTTCTCTCCCCGGAGCCGTGCAGGTCTGGGGAGACCCATGGCATTGCGCCGCGGACCATCCACTGTATTACGGAGGCGGGGCCTGGACATCCGACATTCTTCTAGAAACAGGGCTCCTTAAAAGATCTCCATTTTGCAACCATTTGAAACATGTTGCTTTTTCAACACCAAAGTAAAGATTGGACACCACCATTTACAAGTTGCAATGTTCATGTGTTTTTCATGTAAGGATCCCTGAGAAAGCGCTTTGTGGCGGCTATTGTGGATCCCCTGTAGGACCAAAAGAGTGCTAAGGGACCAACAAGGGGCAAGAACAGGTCGAATACGGTAAGCACACATCCAATCCGGGTTCAATTCTCACTTCGCCGAATTTCGACCTTCTCACCTTTCAGAGTGTTTTTTTAATCCATTTCATTCATGCCCCCCAAAGGGTGGACCTCCTAATTATTCCGGTGTGTTTTTTTTCAGGGGGTTATTTGTTTAATCCATCTCATTCATGGTTCCAAAGGATGAACCTCCTATTTCCAGAGTGTTGTTTAATCCATTTCATTCATGCCCCGCCCTGAAGGGTGGACCTCCTATTTCCGTTTCCTTTTTTGGTTTAAGGGGCGGAGGCTTCCCTTGGCCATGGACCCCGTGAGCTCCCATGAGCTCCCATGAGCTCCCATGAGATGCCAGGAGATGGAGCGCATGGCAGGGCCAGCGCCCACGGCCGGGCGCCGTAGAGTTCAATGGGTGAAACAACACCTGAAGCTTGCATTGGCTGAAATTTGGACATACTTTTTGTTGTTTTTATTATTGGTATTATTTTGCCTGTTGATTTTAAAGGGAAGCTATCACTATTGGAAAAATGTGTTTTTTTGGCAGGGGGGTTAGACAAGTGGAGGGAATGCTAAGTGAATGTCCCAGTGTCATTTGTTTCCAAAAGCGCTATCTGGAGTGGAGGAATGCCCTAAGAAAGGAACCCGCACTCAGTAGCCATACCCTTGACCCGCTTGTTTCCTTCCAGCTGAGGTGTGCGAAGGTTTCCCTTTAAGACCCTTCAATGACCTTTGGCTGCAAGTTCCTCACAGGAATAAACACAAAACTTTTTTCGACGCTCGTCACTCGGTGCCATGGCGGTGATTGGGCACTGGCTGGTCGGCTTCCCGCTCTCGCGCCTGGTGCCGGACGCCTCGGTGGTGCTGCTTCTGAAGATGTGCATCTCAGCGAAGCGAAGAAGCGGAAAAAACAAATCCGAAGCGACCGGCCGCGACCGGGTCAATCGACCTTTTAGGTTTGCTTGATTAAGTTGGTGTTCCCATGTGCCTGTGTTTTGGTAGTGGTCCCAAATATATATATATATATATATATATTTGTTTGGTGTTCTTTTGGTGTTTGTTTCTTTATACACAAAAAATACAACATAGTCCTTTGGGCAAGTGAGGCATGCTCTCGGACATGCTGGCGGGATCGATGCGGGATCGATGGAGGGGATGTGGGCGCGCGAGCCATGGACACTTGTGAAAAACAAGAAGTGGGGGGATCCTTTGAAAAAGGGCGGGAGTGGTAGGGTGGTGTTTTTTGTTGTTGTATGACTTTGTTTTTTTGTTTTCTCGACGCTTTTGCTTTCGGTTGTTCAGTCAATTGGCTTAAGGTTCTGGACTCCGACCAGGGTACCCTTCAAAACGAGAGCAAAAACCAGCACCTCCCCATGTCCAAAGCCCTCGCTGTGCAAAAAGCAGTTGGGTATCGGACACTTGCAACGGGTGGAAAAACTCGGGGCCCATGAACCAAATCGGCAGCAGCTTTGGGCACTCGGGCGAGGACTGGACCTCTTGCAGGCCCAAACCCCAACTTTGGGGTAGTCGCACTCGGGTCCTTGGCCCCGAAGAAACTTGGTTCAGCTTCCCCTCTGGGTGGTTTGGATTGGTTTTTTGGGATGGGTGGTTTCCCCAATCCAAGCAGCGAAGTGATCCTTGGGTTGGACAATCTTTGGTGAAGAACAAGTTTGGATAGGTTCGGGCTTGCTTGGTCCATCTCAGGAAGCAAGTGGTTGCAAAAAACAAATGTCCCGAAGTGTTTCCCATACCCCGAAAAGTGCACACCGAAGCAACGCTTTCCAACGCGCAGGCGGGCGTCTTTCTGCTCTTCGGGTGGGAGCTCGCCTCGGCGTACCCCTGGTATGCTCAGGAGACAAGACTGGCGCGGTGAGGGCTTCATCTTACCGCCTGCGAGTCCCTAGACTTAGGTGTCCTTTTCGGCCGGGTTGCTTAAAAAATAAAGGGCCTCAGTTTAGATGGGGTTTATTCCATTTACCAGGGCCGTCTATTTTTCCAAAAGGCCTATGGTCCCTAGGCTTCGTACTTTTTGGGAAGATTCCAGTGGCAAAGGAGGTAGTGTTTTTTGCTTTTTACTAGGTCTGTTTTTTTTTTTTTTTTTTTAAGGTCTGGGATGTTGGCAGCTTTGCGGAAAACCGGACCTAGTAAAACAAAAAACACCTCTACCCTAGTGGCAAACAACCAGTTTGCACTCCAGAGCGATCCAGTCCGAAGATCGTTCCCTTTGGGAGCCGGACGAACCGGGAAGCCTCCCGCAAGGAGCCGATCGCCACCCAGGACCAGATCGCTTTGTGGCAAGCGGAAGGCAAGTGGAGCCCTCGCCAGGACTCAAAGCGATGGCACGGGCGTCCAGTATCGGTTTTGTTCGGTGGTTTCCTTGTCTGGGTCCCCCAGCAATTGGTGCCCGTTTTGACACCCTTTCTTTTTTGGTTGGGAGGGTTCAAACCTACTAAAATCGACTACAGAAGAAAAAAAGTGGGTGCCCTTGTTCTAACCTCTCAAATCTGGAGGACCTAGCCTTTATTCTAGAGTTTGTTGTTTTCCCCAACCCAGTAGTGCCCTTTTACCCTTTCTTGGGGGAGGGTTCAATCCTACTAAAATCGACAAACCAGAAAAGGTTTGTACCCTGATTCTAACCTCTCAAATCTGCACCTAGTTGTGGTGCCCCTTCAAAACGCCCAGGTTCGCCCCACAATTGCACTCATAGCGGTCGTTTTTGAGGAATCAGACCCCCCAAAATGGTGTTTTCCTTTTGGTGTCCCTTCAGCCCAAAACAGTTCCCCCAAGACAGCACCCATATCAGTGTGTACAAAAAAACCAAAGCAGAATGGCTGGGTGTCCTGCGGCAACCGCTTACAAAAGTGGGGTCTCTTTCAAAGAGAGCGCGCATATGGCCATGGGTCCAAAGCCAAATCGTACCCCCAGTGAACATCTCAATCCCCACTAAAATAAACTAAAATGGGTGGTGCACCTACCCCAAAATGGTACCATTCCTTTTGACCCACAGCCATATGTCTTGACCGAGTTCCATTCCACCCTTTGAACACCAAAATGACAACGGCAGACGGTGACCGAGAGCGGCGAGACACATCTGTGACCCACCGGCTTCGGGGTTGGCGATGTGTGAAACAGAAGCAGAACATAAAATATGCATAGATCACACATGTGGGTATGGCTCAAATTTAAAGGGCTGGGGTTGCGCGGGTTTTGGTCTTTGGTTCCATTTACCAGGGTGCCATTTCACGAAAGCTAGCTTTAGCTAGCTGAAGTTTCTCCTTGCGTAAGGGGCTCAAATGCCGAAAGATTGATTTTTTCAATTATTTGAGCCGAAAAGATTGAAAAACATCAATTATTTAGACCCCCTCCCCCCCCCCCCGGGTCTCAGGCTCGATTCCTCCCTGGTCCATCCCCCCCCCGCCCCGGGCAGTGGCTCAGTGTTCAGCAGTCTCGGTTTGCCCGTTTTGGACTTGGTGCTACGAACTTTTACATGTTCCACCGATTCAGCTTGTTCACTTGAGACCTCAGTCTTCTCGGTAAACCACCTCGCAAGAATCTTTGCACACGCTGCATGCAGAACCCAGAGGTGCTTTAAGACAGCTTCTGACGCCTCTCGTTGTTTTCATGTTTCAAGGTTTGCCACGCCACCATGTGCGTTTGCGTGTCGCATCCTACGAATCTTGCCGGGCCTCTCGTTGCACACAAGCTACCTATGAATCCACTCTGTCACCGACCCATCTCATGCAACAACTGCTAGCTTTCGTTCACCCGCTCCTCAAGTTGGTACCACTTGTTTGAGCCACAGCCATTTAGAAAAGAGGGGTTGGTTGCAGCGCGAATTTGCAGAAAGCCTCGCAAACGTTTTTGGGCCCCCACCAACAACGAGAACTATATTTAAAGACCTCCTTGACGAAGACAAGTGATTTTGACGGTGGCTCATATTGTTTTCTGGTGTAGCCCGGACTTGCGAGGAGGTCCTCGCTCTCGCCGCGAGATGGGCATCCGCCCCTCTTGAACTTGCCACAGGGCAGTTATAAGCATAGGCGTCCTTTTTGGTTGGTTTGCTTAAAAAATAGAGGGCCCTGGTTTAGCTGGGGTTTATTCCATTTACCCGGGCCAGTTTTTTTTCCAAAAGGCCACCTATGGTTATAAGTCATTGCATCTTACATCTATCCTCAAACGTACCTGGGGGTTGATCAATATTCCTGCCGTCAGAATGGCCATGGGTAACTTGTTCCATAAAGTGGAAAACATGTTTTTTTTTGTGGATTCCCTCATTGTCATCCCATGTTCATCCGACCTTTTGATCAATCCCCACATCATTCTAGGGGTTGATTCCCCATTCTTTTCAACCATCGTTCTTTCAAAGACCAGCCGTTTTACCTGGGATTGCGGAGGTTTTCTAGAAAGAAGGATCCCTGGGTTCAGAATGGAAATGGAAGCTACCCCTAGAATCTTAAACAGCATCATTTGGGTGTGGGTCAAAATTAAACCACCAGGGGACCACAGGTTTTAGTCCTTGGTTCCATTTACCAGGGTTCCATGTTGGATACCCATGTTTGAGCCACAGCCATTTGTGAGGTAAACCTCAGCCCATGAAAGCAGGACCCGAATGCCGGCATCTCGGGCTTCCACGGCTTCGCGGTGCTTTTTCCCTTCTACGTGGACCTCACGTTCTCGCACTCCGTGGAGGGGATGGCGCTGGCGAGTCTGGTGGTGGTCCTTCTAGGCGTGGAATTTGGGGCAGAAGTGGGCGAAAAAGAACCAGCCGCTGGCGCCCTTGAACGGCGGGCTCCGAAAAAAGAGGTTGTATTTGGGAGACGAAATATGAAGCAGAATCTGAAAAGATGTTTTCTACGTATGGAGCCGAGTAAAAGGGAAGCCAAAAGGGAGGTTGATGAACCATGTTTTGTTTTCTTTCTTTTTTCTTTTAGGATAGTGTTTGAACCAATTGGCCCAACCCTGATTGGCCATGCTAGGGGACATTCTCAGCAAGTTTGAAGGACTGTTTCATGTTTCCCGTTGGGACGGCTCGGTTCCAAACCAGCCCCGTCCCGCTCGCCGTTGTTTTTTTTTCTCCCCGGTCGAGTCCGTAGGGCGTGGGCTTCCATTTAACTCACAAAACTAGGTCCCCCAGTAGTGCCCTTTTACCGTTTCTTGTTTGGGGGGAGGGTTCAAACCTACTCTAATAGACTACAGAAAGACAGTTGGTACCCTTATTCTAACCTCTCTATTGGAGGACCCAGAAAAAGTTGAAGAGCTTTAGCAGGGCTCTGAGGAAGTGGTTTTGAGTCAGGCTGCCTTCCTCACACGTTGAGTAGCGCCCCAACCATCATGGAAGTGCTGGAACAAGGGAATGCCTCTCAGACATGCTATTTGAATGGTCTGAGATGGACTGAATATGGATCAGACTCTGCAAGTATCACGTTGGTTCCCCAGACTGGGGCCCAAAATTTCGTGACAGGTTCGGGTTTAAGGTATGCGAATCAATACGTCCCCCAGTAGTGCCCCTTTACCCTTTTTCGGGGGAGGGTTCCCCTACCAATATTTTGGTAGACAGCAGAAAGAAAGTTGGTACCCTTATTCTAACCCTCTCTACTCAAAAGCCTAGAATAGTAGTGGCAGGCAGACATTTTGGCAGGGAAGCGCTCCACCAGCACCGTGTTTTTTTGTTTTGTTTTTTCTTTTGCGGCAGGTAGGAGCTACGGCATGAGTTGGCCCACGGCGGCGGCGGTGTGCTTCTGCGGCATCAGCCACCCAGTGAGCCCCAGCCGAACTTAGCTGGCCTCGGGTCCGGAGGAACATGAACCAAGGTGTGTCATTGGTACTGTGGACGAAGAGCTTCCAGGGGAACCCAATCCAGGAAACGCAAGAGCCACTGTGGATGGACGAAATCCGGTCGCACCACCTTGAAATCACGGGAGAAACCACGGTTGGTTGGCAGTTACAGGGGAATCAAATCATTCCGTTGGGTTTCTTGGGCGGTGCAGGATTTGGGGCCTTTGCCCAAAAAGCAAAAACGGGGTGGGGCAGCTGTTGTTCGGGTTCCAGAAAGTTCGGGGGCTGTTGGTGATACCTAGGTCCCCAGCAATTGGTGCCCTTTCTCACCCACTTTTTTGGTTCGGAGGGTTCAAACCTACTAAAATAGACTACAGAAGAAAAAAAGTGGGTACCATTGTTCTAACCTCTCAAATCTGGAGGACCTAGCCTTTATTCTAGAGTTTGTTGTTTTCCCAAAACCCAGATGAGCCATAATCAAAACCTGGGTAGATGAAGGTTAGGAAGGGGCGATCCCAGCCACACATAGCTGCGGATCTCCGCCTTGTCAATTCTTGAAGCATGGTTCTGGAATTACGACCATTTTAGTACAAAGGGTCTTGGGCAAGTGACTCAGCTTGACCCCGGATTCATACACCCCTTCTTAATGAGTGGGTGTTCCCCTCCAAAAGTGATGGTTCCCCACTAAAACCGGATGAGGCAGGCGTAGGTTCAGACGACCGCTGCGCTTTCCGCGGCGCGAACGTGGTACCCCGCTTCGGCGGCTGTTGCTTGTCATTTTTCAGTGGGCTGCGACCGGCAGCGCTTGCTCAAATATTACATCATACGTCGGGTATATATATATATATATGTATGTTTATATTTATGTGTATATATATACACTTGTATATATATATATATATATTTATTTATGTATATATACATATATATACATATGGCAATGTGTGTTTTTAGACCTCGTTACAGACCTCTGTAACAAAACCAGCTGGCTCGTTGCACATCCTCGTTATACCCCCTCGTTACACGCCCTCGTTACACACCTCAGATGAACAAACCGGGCTAGTGACGTGATTGCCCTGTGTTTGCCGCAGCTTGGCTTGCGTTGAATAGCTGCAATCAAGTGCTTTGCTTTGCCTCGTCATAGACCTCGTTACATAGCCGTTACATACCTCGTTGCAGACCCAACCCCAGCCCGGGCTAGCGACCCCGCTTTTAGCCGCAGCTTGGCTTGCGTTGGATAGAGCTGCGGAGGCGTGCTTTGCGTGCTGCGTTTTGCTTTGCCTTGTTACAAACCTCGTTACATAGCCATTGCATACCTCGTTGTGCTGCGCTACATTGTGCTACTGATACTGCTTGTCATGAAATGTTTGTCCCGTTGCAGACCTGCGTAACAAGGACCTCCGTTACAGACCTCCGTTACAGACCTCCGTAGCAAGATTCGTGGCGCGTCGCGCGTTACAGACCCCTAAAAAATAATAGCTATATATATATATATCATACATTGGGACATATCTATATATATACATATATATGTATACAAGTATCATACAATTGGGCATCATACCCCTTTGCTGGAGGGGTTATACAAAGACGCCGCTCGCCTCTCGGCCCTTTTCGGAGGATGGACATGTTCTTCCACGACGCCTACTTCCTGATGGGGAACCGCGCCAAGACGCGGGTCTCCGCGGAGTTCTGGCACATCCCCTACATCGGCCCTGCTGCCTTCCTGCTGGAGCGCAGCTGCGCGCTCGAGAAAAGTTCGGCGAGTAGCCTAAGGTTCTAGGGGTATCTGTGATCCTTCATTCAGGAAACTTGAGCCACAATAAGCAAAACGTAGAATGCTTTCCAACAACAACCATGATTGGATGCTTCATCCACTTATCTAGGGGTGCCTTCCATGTCCATTCTTTGCAGGGATCCTTCTTTTCAGGAAACCATCCAAAACCCAGGGAAACAGCTGTGTTTTAAAAAGAACAATGGTCGAAAACAATGGGGAATCAGTTCCTAGAAAGGTTGACCCCGGATTCATAGACCCCTTCTTCTTAATGAGTGGGCGTGCCCCTCCAAAAGTGCCCACTAAAGCCAGGGGCGTTTTTGTTTTGTTAATAAGTGGGCAAGTTAATCCGGGGTCAACCTTCCGGAAGAGGAGCTGACGAACACCTAAGTACCCACACGGCACCAAAAGAAACGTCATTCCCAACAAATTACTAAAGTCCCTAAATTACATGCGAAGTAAGAGACTGGGGATTTCCCCCCAAGTACATTGGCCATGTGAATATGCGAACTACCTGGTGTTTTTTTCTTTGCCTTGGATGCTGTTCACTTGAGATTTTGGGAATTGGGCTCTCATGCTGTTAATTCTAGGGGTACCTTCCCCAGTCTTTCCAGGGATCCGGATCTTTCCAGAAAAACCTCCGGACACCGAGGGAAAACGGCGATCGGTCTTGGTTTAAGAACGACGGTTGAAAAGAATGCAAAAGGAATCGACCCCTAGACTCCTCCTTTTTAGGCCCTTTTGCCGGGCTTCTCTCCGCATCGAGGGAGCGGTCCAACTTGGCGTGCTTGTCGACGCACCAATGGCGAGGTGGGCTGCGGGTTGCCCAGCACTCCCCCCCCCAAAAAAAACAGAAGTCCGAAAGGAACCTTTCTGCCAACCCACAAAAGGGTAAGGCAGGACAAAAAAAACCGAGGGAATTTGTGGGAAGCCTGTTCAACCAAAAAGCCGAAGCCGCGACACGAATGAAACAACGTCCTTTGCTTAGGAAACTGAGAGAGGCCTGGGATCCCTTTTGACCTGGTTTTACTTTTGGACCGGAACACCGTCCATTTGCTTTAGAAGGTTATTTTGTTTCCTGTTGGTTTTAAAGGGAATCTTTCAATGGACATTTGGCTGTGGCAGTGGGTCAAAAATAGGTCTCCAAAAATGGAACCCTGGCAAATGGAAACAAGGACTAAAACCTGCGGTCCATATCCTGGTGTATGTTGTCATCTTTTGGAGTCGGAACCTCAGCAAATGAGTCAGAATCAACACCTGGTATCAAGATGGTCTACCCAGAACCATGTGCAGAATACCGGCGGATGTCCGCACCCATTTGTGTCTTGTATCCCTTAGCCTTCACCAACCCGAATCGGTTTTGAGGACGGGGCTCAGCGTTTTCTGCTTTTTCCCGCTGAACCCTTCCCCGGAATTAGCTCCTTTTTCTTTTTTTGGCTTTTTTGGGGTCCCTTTGTATTCCACTAAGGCCAAACATATCTCATTTTTTGCTGGGGTCCGAATTCCAGCCTAGAGCCCCAGGAGCTGCTGATGTGTTACCTCGGCTTCCACTTCTGGTGGTCCTCCCGCAGCCCCAAATCCAAGGAGTCCGAGTCCAAGATGCACTCCCTGAGTTGAAGTTCGGACTTTTGTTGGCCAGTCCCCTGAGGAAGTGAGCCGCAGGTCGAAGACTTGGATGCTTGTTGTGAAGTAGGGAATAACCATGACCTGAAGTTGGGGAAACTGGGCTTGGTCCAAGTTTCCATGCTGATTCACCTACGCACCTACGGGCATTTTCAGTGATCCCCTCGTGGCATTTTTTCGCGCGGCCGAAAAAGAGACGGGGAGTTTCTCGGGTCTTCAAAGGCGAAGCGGGAGGCACCCTGATGTTGAGGGAATCCTGGCTATGTTCCAATTTGTTGAACCAAGGTGAACTTAAGGTCAATTTTCCCGGTTAGGGACATGAACCATGTGGCTTCAAGTCTAGCTTCGAGTCGCCCTTTCTCACCCCTTTTTTGGGGCGGGTGCCCCCACTAGAATTTACTACAGAAAAAAGGGAACCCTATCCTCTAACCTCTCTGGAGGACCTGGAAGCGGAACATTTGCTGGGTGTTTTCGGTGAGAAATCCGGTGCTCCAGGAGTCCCAAAACTGAAAACAACCGGTTGCTCCAGAGGACGCGCAGGGTGAGGCGGAGATCGCGAGGTACCTGCGGATGTTTTGGGGGATTTCTTTGAGCCACAACATGGCGTCCTTCTATATCATGTCCCCCGTGATGTGCTGGGCATTCTACAGCTGCTCGGCCGCGTTTGAATGCTTGGTTCGGCCGCCTTTGAAAGTGGATTGTTGCTGGTCCTTCTTGCGGTGTAATCTGTTTTATGCGGTCTTGGCATGTTCCTACTAGCACCGCTTAGACGATGGGCAGATACTGAAGGAAAACACATATATCGAAGCCTAGTCAGTTCCTGTTGTTGTCCTTGGCTCAGGTGCTTTTGTTTGTACTGACTTTGGGGGAGCCAATGTAAAAATACCTGGCTTCGGAGAAGTAGTTCCCCCTTTACTGTTGGTATGGCTTTGGATCATGGACCTTTTAGGGGGTTATGGGGAGGCCATCCTTAAGCCAAGGAGCCCTGAAGGCTTTGAGTCAGGTTAATGTTTTTCAGGTTTTGGGGGCGGCAGGTGCCCTTCCTTGGCGGGTGGATCTGGATACTCACTCGGCTCACCGGATAAGGGCGGCTTTGGGGAATGACCTGACCTCCGGCATGGCAAGAGACTGGCCATTGGCCTGTTCCCAGTTGCCCAGTGGATTCCTGTTCCCTTTTTTTCTCCGTTTTCTTCGGTGAAGGGTTCCCCTTCAAAAACAACCAACCAAAAAGGATGCCCTTTCTTCCGCATGGAAATCCACTGGGCATCTGAGTGGTGTTCGGGAAAGTCAAGGTAAAGTGCCATTGCGAATGGGGTTCACTATCGTGGGCCCCGGCAAGATGACAATCAAACCACACCGAGTGACTACGTGGAGGTTTGAGACATCTCAGAAAATACGAGTGGCAAACGCCCAGAAGTGCAAGTTCTGTCTAGGCTACCTTTGATTTTGTTCACGGCAGGTTTTGCGAGTGCTTGTCAATTTGGTTGGATTGGTACATGTTTTTGCCGACTGTTCAAAGGGCAAAAGTGGCGCCCCCCCCCCCCCCCGTTTCGGAGGATCTGACCCAAGTACGTTGGCAACCTGTCTTCCACCCGCTGCAAAATGGGGCAATGACTACGTTGGGGCAAGTTTGTACGGTCCCGGACTTGCCCAAATGGTTTGCCTCCAAGTCGTCACTTGGATTGCAACCATGTTGACTGGCTGGCCATTCCTCCCCATGCGATTCCTACCAAAGCCCATCCAAGCGCCTACTTGTCTCACTTCCTGAGTCCCGTTTCGGACTTCAGTCACTTTTTCTGTTTTGGTGGGTCACTTTGTGGTTGCTGTGGTCACGGTTCGGGCCGGGCCAGAGTAACCCGCACACACAAGAGGTGCTGGACTTTAGTCACTTTTTGGGTTTGGTTGGACCATGTTGGGTTAGAAAGAAGAGTCTTTTTGGCCACTGGATCGGACGTGCTTTGCTGATTTCCCCTCACCTGAGTCCAGAAACTAGGTACCCCAGTAGTGCCTGTTCTCACCCCTTTTTTGGGGGAGGGTTCACCTACTAACATGGACTACATAAAACTATTCCAACCTCTCGACTGGAGGACCTAGCCAACCAAGCCAGAATTCCACCCAACGAAAGCTGCCCCCAATATGACCCTCTGTCGAATTCATGGTTGTTTACTGGTTGGACGGATTAGAAGTGAGTGACTGATTTCCCCTACCTGAGTCCAGAAAGCTCAGGATTTGCGCCTGAGTTGCAGTTCCTGACCCCGGCGTCGTACTGGTCCTTCTGCCTCTTCGCAGTTCCTCAGCCGAGTTTTGTGGGGTGACGCGAGTGGATCTGTGGATTTGTGGAGCTTCAGTTTTCGGGACGCGTGGACCTGGACCCCCCACCTTCCAACTCAAAGAGTTGTTGAAGCCCCAAGAAAAACAGACGGGGACACCCTGGTAGTGGACATGTTTGGTGCTTGTTTGTGTGTATGTCAAAACGAAGCGGGCCACCAAACAAAATACAACAAGCGGTGAAGTCCCCTTGGGTCTTTTTAGGGTCCAGACGTCCACCTGTCCACGTTGCCATGGCAACCGGAGGGTCCCTTGAAATAGCATAGTCTTCCAGCACCAGTCAAGTTCCATGGCAACGCGGCCCGAAGGCGAACTTCCATGTGCTTCACGTGTTTTGTGTTTTGTTTTTGTGCTTTTCCCCCCTTGTTGGTTTGAATGGGGGTGTTATTTGTTTCCCTTGTTGGTTTGAAAGGGGGTGTTATTTTTTCTTTCCCTTGTTGGTTTGAAAGGGAGTTCTTTCCTTTGATTGGGTTTCCCTTGTTGGTTTGAAAGGGAGTTCTTTCCTTTGATTGGCTTTCCCTTGTTGGTTTGAAAGGGAGTTCTTTCCTTTGATTGGCTTTCCCTTGTTTGTTTGAAAGGGAATCTATCACTACTGGCAAGAGTTTCTCATTTTTTCCAGCACTCTCAAGCAAATAGAACATAAGCCTTCGGTCACTTCGCTCTTCCGCTTTTGGGATTTCCTTTTTTTGGCGGTCTCAAGAGTGGTTCATCTGTCCTTGCCAGGTCCTTGCAGGTGACGGGTTGTCCTTTTGGGTTACTTGCGGGTTTCCAGCCCCTTAGGTTTGTAGGCATAGGTGTCCTGTTTGGTTGATTTGGTTTACAAAAAGAGGGCGATTCCTTGTTTACAACCACCAGGACCATCTATTTTCCCAAAAGGACACCTGTGTTTGTAGGTTGTTCGTTGATTTGGTGCTCGTTTCCACGAAGCCCACGAAAAGTCAAAAGCTTTTCGCAGTGAATCGAAGGGGAACCGCCCAGAATGGAAAAGCCCACCAGAGCCCATTGGATCCAAACGTGTCCAACCCGATGGAGTACTCTGCAGGTAACGCGGAATCTGGACAAAAACAACACAAAGAAACGAGCTCTTTGCCCTCGCAACTCACTCCCTGAGTTTCTGGAAGTATATGGAGGGCTATTTGTGTGGGGGATTTTCCCGTTTTTCTTTAGGAGTTTTTCCTGGATTTTACCTTATCCGGCCTTTTAGCTTCTTGGCTTTCTGGCTTTTTGGCTTTTGGCTTTTTGGCGTTTTGGCTTTTCGGCTTTTTGCTTTTTGGCTTTACTTTTCGTGACCTTTGTGGCTATGGCTTTCCACATCCTCAGCATCACCAGTAACACCCCACCGGCTCTTGGCTTCCCCCCCTCCCCCCAACCCCTCCACTTGTTTGGCTTTGAAATGACCTCCGAAGGCAAACCTAAAACCCTGAAGGAACCCCACTGAATCCAACACCCGCCCTAAGCCCACGTTTTGGCCCCAAAACCACCCTAAACCACCACTAAACCCACCCTAAACCGCCACTAAAACTAGAACCAACCTCAAAGCCACTCTAAATCAGCAATAGGCTATCCCTAAACCAACCCTAAACCCCAACCACCCTAAGCCAATCCCGAAACGCACCCTAACCCCACCCAAGCCATCCCTAAGTCCGCACTAAACAAGCACAAAGCCATCGCTAATTACGCCCACCTTAAACCACCCTCCCAAGCAAACCCTATACCAACCCTCACCCCCCACTAAACCCACCCTAAAGCAACCCCAAAACCAATCCCTAACCCCAAGTAAACTAGCACCAAACCCAAACTCAACTTGCTCTACACCCACCCTACACCAACCCTTGACAAACCCAAAGCAAACTTGACACCAACCGCCCCCTACCCCCCCGCCAACAAACCAAACCAACAATTAACCATCCCTAAGCCACCCCCAAACCACCCTAAGCCCACCTAAACACAACCACAGTCTAAACCAACTCTAAACCCACCCTAAGCCCTAAATCCACCCTAAACCAACCCCAAGAAGCCCACCATAAATCAGCACTAAACCATCCCAGTACCTCAAGCGCAGCCGCCCCCAAACTTGCCCTAAACAAGCCTGGAACCCACCCTGAACCCACCCTGAACCCACCGCCTAACAAAATCCAACTCGTGATGCTGAGGATGTTGATGAGGATGCTGCCGAGTTAAAGCGATGCCGGGGATGTTGGCAGCGCTGTTGCAAAACGAGTCAAACCACAGCAGAGCCAAGGGAGATCGCACCTGCCAGTTCCAAGGCAGAAAATCCCGGAAACAGAATCCCAAAGCAAAACGGGGAAAATTATCCCAAAGAATCGGCACCCAAGTCAAAGCCACTTTTTGGAAGAATCCCGAATAGTGGCAACATGTTCAGACGTGACACATGTTGCCAGTCCACTCAGGAAGCGAGCCAAGCGTGGTTTTGGTGCTGGGTTCCATGTAAACTGGCGCAAAGGCAGGAGAGCCTAGAAAACCCTACCCTCCATTTGCTTAAGAATATGCGTTTTTCCTTGTTGGTGTTAATAGGAATTCATCACTACTGGAAATATGTGTTTTTTGTGTTTTTTCCCTGGGCCTTAACCAAATGGAAGCTACTCTCTTCCCAGGTGGTGATGTGGTCCTGGGCGCTGGCCTTGTATCCCCTGCACAAGCTGGAGCAGCTGACTGTGAGGAAGGACTCTGAAGTGGAGGACCAGTACCTGAAGATTGTGTGAGACGGATCGCCTCAATGGAATCGAGGGCGCCCTTGACCCTTGAAAGGCAAGGTACCTTACGTCCTGAGTTCCGTTTCGGACTTTAGGCACTTCTTGGGTTTGGTTGCCGTTTTTGTGGTAAAAAGTTCAAACTTTTCTGGCCAACCCACTTATATAGGAAATGTGTTCTAGTTTCCATTGTTCTTTTGTGGGGAAGACTCTGCCGGCCAGAGCAAGGTGTTGCAGGGCCACAAGTGTCCGTGGTTCCCGTAGGTTTCCGTCGGTTTCCGCGCGCTGGCGACCGAGGAAGAAATGCCGCTGTTTCTTCGTCTAGGTCCCCCAGTAGTGCCCGTTTACCCTTTTTTGGGGAGGGTTCCCCTACTAAAATAGACTACAGAAAAAGGTTACCCTTATTCTAACCTCTGTACTGGAGGACCTAGTCGTGTTTTTTTTGTTGTTGTTTTGCGTTGTCCCCAGCAAGCCTTTCAATTCAACCTTGAATCAGGTGACCCTGAGTTGGTGGTTTGGGATTTCAACCCCTGGCTTTGAGGGGGTAAAATGGGAACCCCTCCAGAACACCACCAAACCACCAATCCAAATCACCAATTATAGAGGGAAGCTGATTTAGTTGGACCCTTTTGGTCCATGTTGGTCCACGTTTAGTCAAGGTCAAACATCCCTGTCTTTGGGCCAGATGATTCGACAGGGGGTCCTGCGCGAATCTCTCAGCGCGATTTCGCGACATGAGAGGCATCTCCGCAAAATGAGTCAGTTCCCTTCTAAAAGTATCGTTCAGAACTCCTGAGTTCCTGGACTTTCATGGTAACTATATTCGTGGTAACCAAACAGTCAGGGTTACTCTTTACTCTTTGGTCAATTCACTCAATCAGAAGCGAGGTCCGGTGGAATCTGAAGTTGGTAACAGACGCCTAAGCGATGTTCTGCCCTATGTTCTGCGTCGATCATTTTGAGACGTTCCGGTTACAGCTCACACGACCCGATCCGGGTAAGGGGCAAGCAATGCGAAATCCAACATCTGAATTGCAAAAGCTGCCGATCAAGTGGTGCTTCTGTCATGTTGAGTTGACATCGAACACAATTGCGTTGTTTTTTTTCAATCTCGAGTTGTTTAATTGAGATGTGTCAAACTTAGGTATAGCTCGGTGTCTGCAAACGGGGCCTTTCGTTTAATAAGGTTCGGTGATTGCCGCTGCTTTGAGACATGCAGATCCGTGACTCACATGCTGATCTTCTGACCTCTTGGGCTTCGTGGGATGGGGGGGGGTCGGGGATGACACCCTTGCTGATGCAGGGTGACGAAATTGGCTGGGCCCATCTGAGTTGTGAAACTTATTGAAAGGTTTCTTCATGACTTTAGTTCAAACACAATCTACCGCCATACCCTGATTCAACCTTAGGGTTCTGATCGAAGGCGTCTACAGCGTACCTTAGGGACACTGGCCGGATCGTCAACTCAGGTTAGCCGGTTTGGGCTGCTTTGGGTATGGCTTCAAACTATGTTTTTTTTCCAGGGACTACATTTGCAACAGATTCTGAACATGTTATTTTTCGGTCTATGCCTGTTTCGTTGGTCAAGGTTTGGGCAGTTTGGTAGGTCAATGAGCGTACCTGTTGGGCTGAATGGCCGCATCTGGCGTCCGGCGTCCACTGCAGGATTGGCATCTGCCCTGCAAAAGAGGTACTTGGATATCATGGACCCCTAGGGGGGGCTATCGGGGGGGGAGGCTATCCCCGGATAGGCCTAGGAAAAACCAAGTTGACAAGGGGTTAACAAGGGATACCCCCCCCTCCGTGATTGGATAAAGCATTCTGGACTCAATTATGTTCTTTTTCCACTAAAATAATGTTGAGGCAATTTGGGAGATGAGAAATCCTCAGGGTGGTTATATCAGCCCCAATGTTTTAATGGTGGTAACTGAACCTCAGGGTACTATGGTCGAGTATGTTCAGAGGTCGACAATTGATGAATGGTTGGGGTATAGGTCTTTACGGTGGCGGGATGCAATTCTCCTGACAAAAGGCAATCGCGTTCAAACTGGCTTCGAAGAATATGTTTCTGCATGTTTTGTGGCGAGCTTGGGTTCAAACGAGCTTACCAGGAAGGTCCTTTACCTAGGGATCCCTTTCAGATTTTGGAGTTGTTGAATTTGCAGATTTGGTTCAAGTTGCAAGTTCCTCCACTCTCAGCCCAGACCATCTATTCACAGTTCGGATTGAACAGATGACCAAATGTCAATGACACCAACAGCCATTTGCAGACGAAATAGGCGGCGCCAAACAGCTGCTTGATGAAAGGAAACCAGCAGGCGTCCATTTTTTGTGGAAAAAACCATTTGAGCACGTGTGCGGTTGATTTCCTTGTAAATGGACAAGGGTAGGAACGACCCACAGTTTGAACTGGGTTGGGATTTTGGAAACCGCGCAAAGCCGCCGTTCAACTTTTGACTCTGGGAAATCCAGTGACCCCTGCAATCCCGCAAAGCGTTCAACCAACGCCCAAAGTTGCAAACCGCCGGGTGTGGTTACCAAGGTCGAGGCGTCTTTCTTCGAGGTTCAGCAGGCCTCCTGATCTGCGCTACAGCCGCCAATCCGCGTTTAACAAAGCTGCGGTTTCCCGAATCCGAATTTGCGCCACAAATGGGTATCCGAAAATGGAAATTCTGGTACATGGAACCAGGGACTAGAACCTGCGGTCCATATCCTGGTGCTTTAATTTTGACATACCTATGTCCCTTAGGACACCTCCCAAAGTGGCAGTTTCAGGGCAAGCACGCCAGGAAATTGATCAGCTTCAGGGGAAACTCAGCGAGCCCTGTTTCCCTGTAGCTTCTCTTGAAAAGCTGAACCCGGAAGGAATACGCTCAAAGACAATCCACCCATAGCGTGAAATATGTGGTTGCCCGCAAGAGGCTCACTCCATTGACACTCCTGATGGCAATATAATATGAGAGCGGGCAAACATGGCTGGGTCAAAATGAAACACTTGGGGTTACGCAGGTTTGAGTTTACCTGTCCATTTGCCAGGGTATGCCAGGGTTCCATTTTGGCAACACTCACATAGGTGACGGTCCCAAAAGGCACACTCATGGTGCTAGGCAACATCAACCCGACCAAGAAATCAGGCAGCCAATGTAATGATTCCTAGGAAACCAAGGCCGTGTCCCTCAGAAGGCCAGTTTGGACTTCCCGAGTTGAACTTTTGTCTCTTTTTGGGTTTGGAGCATGTTTGTGGCAAGCTGAATGGTTGCTCTTTTTCGCCAGTCCACTTAGGAGGATCCGGTGATTTTTTGTTTCTAGGGCTGGTTCTTTTTTACTAGGACTGGGTTGGTTGGTTGGCTGGCTGGTTGGATAGCTTGCCGCATCCCTGGCATCACCAGCCTCACTTGGGTTGCCTATGGCTGGTTTAAGTTCGGGGGATTAGGCTGGCTTAGATCTTCATAAGGGTGGGTCTCGGGGTTAGGGTTGATTTTGGGTGGATTTGGGGTTGGCTTGGAGCTGATTTGTGTTGGGTGTGCTACTGGCTCTGCGGTGCCTTTAGGGTTGCTTTAGGGATGTGGAAACTCGCCTACAACTCACGCAGCCTAGGCCCCCCTAACTTGAACCAGCCTTCTGCAACTCCCAACTGACTCCCAATCAGAGCCAATGGGCAACCCCCGGGCCAAGTGGGCTGGTGATGCTGGGGATGTTGCCAGCCCTGCGGAAAACCAGCCCTTGGAAAAACACCAGCCCTGGGAAAAACAAACACCTCTACCCACTTAGGAAGTGAGGTTTTGACGGAGGGAAGACTCTGTAAACTTCATGAACTGACAGAAATTGGAACTCTACGTTTGATTTTGGGACATGTGAAATCGGAGACAGCCCAATTGCCCCAAGTCCGTCCTGTTGGGCAAACATGGGGAAACCATGATTCTGTCGCGGGCAACAAGGAAGCCACGCCTTGTAGCTCCTATGTAGTTGCTTTATGGCTTTGATTTCGTAGATTGGTGTGTTGGATGACCAGGTTCTGACTTGCACACGCAACTTGCCTTTACTAGGTCCCCCAGTAACTTTTTTGGTTGGGAGGGTTCCCCTACCAAAATTGACAGAAAAAAGTGGGGGGGCCCAGCTTCTCCTGTCCGACAGGATTCCCTTTGCGACCTGCTGGCGGGTGGAAAGGCGCGGGCCTTTCGCTTCCGGACGGCCCCCGGAAGCCGCTTCCGGATTTGCCAAGAAGCCACCGGAAGCCCAAAGCCCAAAGCGCCCGTTGGTCTTTTCAAACGAATGGACTTGGACCTTCTTAGATTTGGATCATTTGAGAAATGTTAACCCCGGATTTAAAAAAAAAAAAAAACTGGTGGGGGTGTCCCCTTGTAGTGGGGATTCAGACCACTTTTGGAGGGAACACCCCCCTAATACTGAGACGGGTTTATTATTCCTGGGTCAACAGTAGGTCAAGAAGTAACATATAAATCCCTTTTTCAGGAGAACCCGTAAATAAGTCAGAATCAAAACCTGATTCTAAAGTGGTCTACCCGGAAAGTTTGGTTATTTTTTTTTGGCCAATTCATGAAGTGATTATTCGGGTATGTCTGTTTTCATCCTCCAAGTGCTGCACGAATCGAGGTACAGTTGGTTTGCTTGTAAATGTTAACAAAAGCACCAGGAAACACGGCCTGATTCGCTTTCGACTTCTGTGGGTTTATGAAGGTGCCCTTTTGTGTGTTGAAGGGAAACCAAAAGGACAACCTGGGTCCCCTGAAAAAAACGCACACCCATCTTTGATCACGGACCACTCGGAACTTGTGACGTTTGGAGCTAGGCAATCGCACCAGATAAAATATGAGGGATTTGCCGATGGTTTTTGTGTCTCTAGGACCACTCCCAAAATGAGTTGAGTTTCCCAAGAAAAAAGTGAGGCCGAAAGGGTACCGTCAAGAAACACACAGACCACATGTTGCACTGTTCCAAGGCAACGCGTGCGCTCCTTTATCGCGAGCTCACCTTGGGGTCGTTGAAAAAAA